GAAACACCTATTGGTTACTTCCCACACGTACTCCAACCAGGAATACAACCCGCAACCTTGGTATTTGCCCTGACCAGAATAGAACCCACAACCGAGCTACCTGGTTAGGGCTATATCTTTAATTTTAAAAATAGAGGAGAGCAGACTGGGTCTTTCCCTCTACTGCAGCCTTAGCCAGCCTTTGTAAGAAAATTGAAGAGCATGATCCAGAGTTTGTGTGCCATTGCAGTGGGTGGAACCAAAGTTTAAAGATAGGTGAAGATCAGATACTAATCTCACACTTCTGTTGGTGATGATCATTACAAACAAATGAAGAATTCAGAAATCAACCATAAACTCAAGATGAGCTGCAAACACAGGAACAAACATTTAAAAACTTTGGAACAATTCCAGTGACATCAAACCAATCTGCATGGACTTGCTGGTGGCTCATAAATCCAGGACCTCCTCCACCACATTGACAGACAGGTAGAAGACCATCCCTACCACCACCACTTCCACCCACAGGAGTTGCTCTTACTCTGCTCTTATTCTCAGTCTGCATTTCTAGTTTAAATTCACTGTGGCCCACAACAAATGATGTATAGGTTTAATCCTTTGAACACTTTCTAAGACCTAATCTATGGACAATATTTTGTGAATCTTCTACATGTGCTTGTAAAGTATATAATCTCCCTTTGTGGGGCAAGCTGTCCTATCATATTCTCATCCTCTATTGATTAATTCTGTATCATTACTCATTCATTTATAACCTATGTCTAAAACTCTTCCCAAATGACCATGAAGTTGTTTCTTCCTGGATACCTTTCACTCATTGTTGCTACTGAGAATTCAGCCTTTAATCACCACTTAGTAGAAAACCATCTTTTTTTCCTCTAGTGATCTCTCTTAAGATTTCTGCCAATTCTTTGTATTATTCTACTTGAATTTTGTTTATCTTTTCAACCCCCTAATTGGATGTTCTTCATCACTTTTGAAAAGAAACATCTCAGCCAATATCTCATTATCATTTTTCCTAGTCTGTCTTTCTTCTTCCTGCACTCTAATTATAAGTATGTTCCACCTTCTAATTGTATTATTTTCTACCTTTTTATCTTTATGCTTCTCTGTGCTATATTCTTGAAACATTTTTTGAGTTATTACACATTACAAATTTTCTTTTGAGCTTTGTTTAAGCTGTCATTAACTTTATCCACTGAGACTTTAATTTTGCTTATTTCAACTTTCACTTTTAGAAGTTGTATTTAGTTCTTTTTCAAATGGTATGTCTGTATTCATTTTTAAAGTACATTTTATTAATATATTTTATTAATTTTGCTCTTACAATTGTTCCAATTTTTCTCCCTTTGTCCCACTCTTCCCAGTAACTCATATTCCCTCCAGTAATTGTCTCCTTAGATCATGTCCATGGGTCATGCATATAAATTATTTGGCTTCTCCATCTCCTATACTATTTTTAACATCTCCCTGTTTATTTTGTACCTACCAATTCATGCTCCTTAACCCTGCACCACTACCCTTATTCTCCCCCTTCCCCTTGCAAATGATAACCCTCCATATGATCTCCAAATCTATTATTCTAATCCTCTCTAGTTGTTTGCTTAGTTTGTTTTTGTTTTTTACAAAACAAAATTATGATGTGTCTTGGTTAGGACCTCTTTCAGCCCAACGTGTTTGGGACTTTCTGTGCTTCCTGGATTTGTATATCTATTTCCTTCACCAAATTAGGGGATTTTACCTTCATTACTTTTTTGAATAGTTTTTTATTTTATTTTATTTTATTTTCACTTAATTAACTTGTTTAATTTATTTGAAAATAAATTAAAACTACCTCTTCTTCTGGCATTTCTTTGGCTCAGATGTCAGCCCTTTTGGATATGTCCTAAAGTCTTTTTAAAGTCACTTTTTTTAATTCTTGTTTTACCATTTTGTTCTAGTTAAATGTTTATTTCTTCCTTGTATTCCAAATCATTGATTTGAATCCTGGCTTCCTTCCCCTTCATGTTTGGTTTCCTGTGGGTTTTTCTTTATTTCCCTTAGTAGAACCCTCATTTCTTCCTCTTTCATTTGCTATATTCTATGAGGTCTTTAAGCATTCTGACCACCAGTGTTTTGAACTCTTTGTTCAAAAAGAGTTGGCTATCTCCACATGGCTTAGTTCTTTTTCTGCGGTTCTGTTATTTCCTTCTTTTGGGCCATATTTGTTTGTCACCTCATTTTGGCAGCCCTCGTGTGTCTTTGGTACTAGGTAGAGCCTCTTTAATTATGTTTTACTGCACCTGTTAAGTCCTAGGGGCACAGCCTTGGGTATTGCCAGGGTGGGGCAACTGTGGCTCCATGTGTGTGGCATGGGTCAAAAAGGGGACAATGTCACTGCTGGCTGACTTCTTGGGATTGCCTCTCCCTTCTTCTTTTCCAATCACTTCACCCACTTCCTGTGTGTAACAGACAGCCCTTCAGCTGCTGTCCTGTTGTTTCCCATGGTGGGGGTGGGGGGTGCATACTTTCCAGGCCCTCCAGCAGTGTCTTCCATCACCCGAATATCCACTGGGTTTACAGACAGAAGTTATGAGGTATTCTTTTTCCCAGCGCTGGAGCCCTGGGTTTTGCATTTAGCCTGGGACTAGGATCACTCACTCACAAGGTGTCTCCCTGATTTTTATCTACCACACATGAATGTGAGGCTGCCCATTCTGCCAGCCACCATCACCTGGCCTCAGTCACCTCAAACCTAATCTCTCTCCAGCTCACCTCCGCCACACCAAGTCCTCTCCATCTCCACTCCCCATCTCAGCCCCTCCCACCCATCTGGATGAACATAGCTTCTTAAAATTCTTGGTTGTTGGACTTCTGTACAGTTTTAGGTGTTTCGCAGGGTGTTTTTCTGGCAATTCTGGGTGTTGCTCATGTTTAAGTTAGTTGTGTTCTTTTTCATGGCTGTGCAATGAGGTGAGGCATGACTAGTTACACCTCTATCTTGACCAGAAACATGGTATGACTCTTTTTAAAACTTCGTGTTCCCTGTAGCTCTGTTAAAGATTATTTTTACATTGACATACTTGTTTTGTAATCTGTGTAGGATTATTCCTATATTATCCAATGCTTTCTTGGTCATGGTGTTTTATTTCTTTGTTTGCTTGTTAATCTTGTTTATATTTGAAAACATACTGTCATTATAAATGAAAAAATAATTTTAGCTCTGATTCAAATCTGGTATTAAGTCTATATCCTCTGGCTTTGCATTAGAATCTGCCAGCTACTTTGGGACACATCCACAATCATGATAATGCAACTTTAAGGTCTGAGATTCCATGAGAAGTTCAACTAATTCTGATCTTTCATGAATTACTTGCAATGACTAGCCCCTTGCTCTTCTTTCTTCCTTTGAGGGTGCAGAATTGTCAGGTCTTGGCTTCCTGTGGGGAGGGGCTCTGATTGGACCTTGTGTGAATTTGGTTTGGTTTTCTCCTCTCCTCACTTTATAAGGTCATCAGACCACAGTCTCAAATTCTGTGGGTTCAGCAATGCCCTCAGAGAAACCACTGCCTAACTGGACTCCCATTATGCTTTCAGTTTTGGCCTGATAATTACTCTTGTATTGGCAGTACTTTTAGTCATTGAAGGTTTAAGACATTTAAACAGTTTTGTTTTCTGTTGTTTTTAGTGGGAAGGCTGGCATGCAATCCTAGGTCATTGTTAGGAAAATCACCTCCCCACATCACTATTCTAACCACTGGATGCATAGACTTTACTCCCTTTTTTCACATGTGCAGGCTGTTCCTTATCCTTCTGTTTTTAAACTAAAGTTTTTAAAGCAAAATTAAATGTTAAAACAAATTAAAATTGCACAAATAAGACACCAGTTAGTCTATTACACTATTTTCTCTTTCTTCTCTTTTTTTCTGCATATTGCTTTTCAGATGTATAAAAAATTTCATGAGGTTGCAGTCACAGAGCATATATTAGAGGGAGGATTAAATTTCTTACAGTTTTAAAAATAAGTGAAAATGTGTACATATTTAAATATAAGGAGAGGATATATAACTTTCATAAAATTTTCAAGTGGGCCTATTAGGAACCTTAAAAGTTTAAGAATGGTATTACTTTTCAATTCTGATATAGGTTTTGAAAAAATCATGCTGGCTTATAATGTTTTTCTGAGCACACACAAATGTTCTAAAGTTTTAAGTGTGTCTCACAATCCACTGTGTCATTCTGCAGTATACTTCCTGTTCTCACTCTATAATTAATGAGTAGTTCCAGTTCCCTCCACCCTGAAGGGAGAAGGGGGATTTGCTTGATAGGTCTTAAAAATCCCAGATGAAATAGGAGCTTACATGTTTTGCAGGCAGGCTATGACAGCTCTCAACAAAATCAACTCACAATGCTGTTTCTGTACACAGGAACCTTCTGAGACACAGAGGCCTTCATCTTGAGTAGGAAGCAAACAAATACAAGTATTCAACAGTGTCATAACTTTTAGTGAGACCTTCTCTGGGCTCAAGTGACCTGACAAAGTTACCCTCAGTGGCACAATCTTTATCTTCCATTTACTTCTCTGTCAGTGCCTTTCACTCATTCGGGAGTGAGAGCTACTCAATCTACCTCACCACCTTCCAGAAAGTGGTGGGAGCAGCCAGGGTTTTGGCAGGTAGCCAGGGCCCAAATGCTGAGGACAGGCAGGCTTCAATCCCAGAGCAATAGAAAATGGAAGCTCTGGGTAGCTAGCAGTGTTTAAGCCTTGTTGAGACATTGTTCAATAGGGTGGGTTTGAGCTTCTGGAACACCAGGCCCAAATCTCCTCTCCTTGTGCCCTAGTTCCATTACCCCTGAAGCACTGCCTCAGCAACTGTGGGAGACACATTGGTGGCTTGGATCACCTCTTTTCCCCCAAGCCACTGACAGCTAGCTGGTAGGCCAGCCTCCAGGCCAGCTGTCATTGAAACCTACCACACCCCCTGAGGAATGGAACTGTGAACCAGCTAGTACCCACCCCACCCTTCCTTCCTCTCTGGGAAGGCTAAAAGTCTGGCAGGAGAAAGTACCAGCAGCAACTGTTCAGCAGCCTTCTCTGGAAGATGCAGCTCCTCCTCATCCTGGTGGCCTTTCTCCTACCCCCTGGGGCTGAAGCAGGTGAGTGACCATCCAAACCCTCATAGGCCCATGCCCATCCCTTAGACTGTGGACCCAGACTGCCTAGTCACTTTCTCTCTTTTTTTTCAATATATTTTATTGATTGTGCTATCACTGTTTTCTCATTTTACCCCCTTCACTCCCCTCTGCCCTGCATACCCCCGCCACCAACATTCCCCCCTTTAGTTCATGTTCATGGGTCATACATATAAGTTCTTTGGTTTCTAAATTTTCTATAGTATTGTTAACCTCCCCCTTTCTATTTTCTATCTGCCATCTTTGCTATTTATTCTCTGTACCTTTTCCCCCTCTGTACCCCTCCCACTCCCCTGTTGATAACCCTCCATGTGATCTCTATTTCTGTGGTTCTGTTCCTGTTCTAGTTGTTTTCTTAGTTTGTTTTTGTTTTTGCTTTAGGTCTGGTTGTTAATGATTGTGAGTTTGCTGTCATTTTACTGTACATATTTTTAATCTTCTGTTTCTTAGATAAATATCTTTAACATTTCATATAGTAAGAGCTTGATGATGATGAACTCCTTTAACTTGACCTTTTATCTGCCCTTCTATTCTAAACGATAGGTTGGCTGGATAGAGTAGTCTTAGATGTTGGTCCCTGTCTTTCATGACTTGGAATACTTTCCAGCCCCTTCTTGCCTGTAAGGTCTCTTTTGAGAAATCAGCTGACAATCTTATGGGAACTTCTTTGTATTTAACTGCCTCCTTTTCTCTTGCTGCTTCTAGAATTCTCTCCTTAATTTTAATCTTGGGCCATGTAATTATGATGTGCCTTGGTATGTTCCTCATTGTGTACAATTTATTTGGGACTCTCTGAGCTTCCTGGACTTCCTGGAAGTCTATTTCCTTTGCCAGATGGGGAAGTTCCACTTCATTATTTGTTCAAATAAACTTTCCACTTGTTGCTCTTCCTCTTCTCATTCTGGCACCCCCATACTTCAGATGTTGGAATGTTTAAAGACGTCTTGGTGGCTCCTAAGCCTCCCCTCATATTTGTGAATTCTTGTTTCTTCATTCTGTTCTTGTTCAATGATTCTTCCTTCTGGTTCACTCCATTGATTTGAGTCCCAGTTTCCTTCCCATCACTATTGGTTCCCTGTACATTTTCCTTTATTTCACTTGGCATGCCCTCCATTTTGGCCAAAAGTGCATAGTTACTTTCTAACTCTGTGTAGTTGGGCATATAATTTGAATTCACAGTACTCGGATTCATCATCATCTATAAATAGGAATAACGGCAATGCCTACCTCATACAGTTGCTATGACAGTTAGTGTACATGAAACTCTTGGAATTGCCCCTGGCATGCAGCATGTGCTCCCTAACTCTGCTCTTCATTTTCCCTCTGCAGCCCATGTATTAAAACCTAGGAGACAAGGATATAGCAATAACAGCCCCGTCAGCTCATATCTAGATTCTTTAAAAAGTCCATGCTGCTCATGAGCTGGTCATGAGCTGGAAAAATAGAAATCGGGAAAACTCCTTGGATAATAAAGTACCAGCAAACTTTAGGTAGAAGCAACTCCAGAAGGCTCTGGATCCCAACAGCACAGATCTCTCCACCCTAGGAGAGAGGCCTAAGAGCTCTTGCCTGCAGCAAGGGTTGTTCTCCTTTGGGGGAGGCAGAGGGAGCTAAGGTCTGGGCTGGGGAACCAGCCTTGTTTCCTACAGGCCACTGGAGTCCTCTCCCATGATGTGGTTCCCTGCAGACCCCAGTTCTCACCACCAAATCCTCCTCTCCCTGCATCATCTCTGTAGCCTCCCCATCTCCCAGCCTTTCTGGAGCCACCAAACTGACACTTCAGTGAGCAGAGTAATAACTGCTGAATACTTCCTTTCAGAGGAGATCATTGGAGGCCGTGAAGCCAGGCCCCACTCCCACCCCTACATGGCGTATCTTCTCATCCAGTCACCAGGGGGAGGAACTGCTTGTGGGGGCTTCCTGGTGCGAGAAGACTTTGTGATGACAGCAGCTCACTGCTTGGGAAGGTGAGGAACCAAGGAGCTCTCAACAGCCAGCAAGGCACATCCAGAAGCATTCATGAGAGCATAAAGCTGAAATTGGGGTTCCAGCAAGCAAGGGGTGAATAGTGACTGGTTATGTCCTAAGGGGCTAGACTGGACACAGCCCACGGTAGGACAGAAGCAGGAGACAAAAAGCATGTATTGGAGCTCCAAATATGAATTTGAGCTACTTATTAATTTACCCTAGTAATTAATTTCTCTTTAGAGTCACAGTGTTCCCCACCAGCCCCAGCCCAAGCTTTTTGAGAAGCAGAGGACACAGCAATCTCTGGCCCAGAGCCCTCCTGTCCCCTCACTTCCCTCAGCTGCTGTCTTGCTGCCCTGGGCTCTCCACCTATTCTGCAGATCTTGGGGACTTTATCTCATGCAGCTTATACCTACCTCTAAACCACCTTCCTTTGCAGCACTATAAGGGTCATCCTGGGGGCGCACAACATCAGTAGGCAGGAAAGGACCCAGCAGCGCATATCCGTGCTCAGAGCTATCCCACACCCTGCCTATAATGACGACAACAACCTGAATGACATCATGTTACTGCAGGTACTTCTGCCTGACCCTCTGGTTCCCCACCTGAGTGGGTTCCCTCCCAGGTCCAGGCTTCACTTTCTCCTTGGTCCATGGAGGAGGAAGCAGGGGCAGAGACCCAGGGGTGGTGTGCTGAGCTCTGCATAGATTTCCCTTGAGTGCCTGTACTCTTTCCGCCAGCTGGAAAATAGAGCCAGGCGGAATCAATTCGTGAGGCCAGTGGCTCTGCCTCAATCCCAGACTGAGCTCAGACCTGGGTCCCAGTGCACTGTGGCAGGCTGGGGCCTGGTGGGCCAGAACAGACCAACAGACACACTCCGGGATGTGCAGCTGAAGGTGCAGAGGGACCAGGTGTGCAGCAATCGATTTAACATCTTCCGTGGCCAAAGCGAGATTTGTGTGGGGGACCAGAGGCAGAGGAAGAACGCCTTTGAGGTAAGGTCACAGGAATCTGCCAATACTACCTGAGACAATGGGCTCTGGAAAGAACTGGGCAGTAGAAACAGACTACATCCCCATGGCCTCAGTCTGGAGCCATGACCAGAGTAACGTGGGGGCTTTTACCCATCAATTCAGTCTGTGAGGCAGGGAGGGGGGTAGGACTGCCTGATACACAACATGCATATGCAGTGTTTTCATGGGAAAGGTAAAGGTACCTTTACCTTAGGTTGAGCTAGGGACAGTACCCACTGCCAGGGTTGAAGTCTAATCAATGAAAGATGCAGGAGCTTGAATTTTGCACCCTCGCCATCCTCCCATTTCACATAGAGGTTCTGACCTTAGGACAAAAAGAATGAGGAGGCCTGGCTTAGTGTCCCTTTCTCTCATCACCCACAGGGGGACTCCGGAGGCCCCCTTGTGTGTAACAGTGTGGCTCAGGGCATTGTCTCCTATGGAAGTAGAGTTGGAACTCCTCCAGCAGTCTTCACTAAGGTTTCCCGCTACCTTCCCTGGATAAATAGAACAATGAGACGCTTTGAAACTGCAGAGAATCAAAAGAGTCATCACACCATCCCACCTATGACAGACTCTTCTCTGGGACAGAGCTGGTTGTCAGAGATTTAATAAATGTCTATGTCTAGAGTGCAAACAACTTATTTCTCATGTTATTAAACATTATTCTGCACAAATAGATCCAAGACTGAGTCTGAGTTCCTCCCAGAATAAGGGGTCCTTTCTTTCCCCAAAACAAATGAACCTCCATAAACCATCCTAGGGGTCAGAATGAGCTACTTCTCTCCTCAAAGACATTCATTCACTATCTCTCCTCCCACATGATTTAGGAGTTAATGGAAAGACATATGTATGCCCAGGGCAACGCTCTCTGCATTCCACCCTGCAAGGGACTGGCCTACCAGATATTAAGGTGTACCCTAAATTCTGTACCACTGGTGTGTGTAGCATAGGCCAACCAAAGGGAAAGAATTGAAACTCTATGTGAGATTCAATTTAATATGTGACAAAGGTGGCATCTCAAATCAATGGGAAATTATGAACCCTTAATACATGGTGTTAAAACAACTAGATAGTTTGTGACAGAAGGAAAGTAAAATTGGACATACTCCTCACACCATAAGACAAAATAACACTCAAATGAATCAGAGATATAAATGCAAAAAATAAGCCTTAGAAGTTAGAAGAAAGAATGAGATCTACGTGCTCAAAAAATAGCTAATGAACACCTATGTTCACAGCAGCACTAGTCCCATGGCCAAGAGATGGAAGAAAACCAAATGTCTGTCAATAGCCAGAGTCCTTCTTCCAAACCCTTATGCCAACCAACCTGCACTGCTCTATAGACTTATGTTCTCATTTTCAGTGAGTAAGGGGTCTGCTCCCTGTTCTCACCTCTAAACTTACAACAAACTCAAACCAAATGTTGACAACAGTAGCATGACATTTACCATAAAGATTAGCCCAGGGCTTTCTACATCAATATTACATTCAAACAAAAGATTACTCAAGTCACACAACTTAAAATCATGATGTAAACACATTCTTTTATGACTGTGTAGAACGAGCTGGGAGGTTCTTCTACACCCATCAAAATGTCAATCTTTCCTCAAAGTGTGACATTTACCATCTGAAACCTGCAGTTCCCCAACTCTAAATGGAATTATCAGTGAACACATATCAAATCTAACTGGCTACATACAGAGATGCTTTGGTAAGTTAGACCATTATTTTATGGGAATTTTTAATCAGAAAGTCATTTGCCTAATATTCAGTGTAAGCCATTTATTAACAAAATTTTAATCAACAATGCATTTTGGACAAAACTCTGTCATTCTCTCTACATTTGTTACCACCAAACCAACCATAGGAATGCTATTGTTTGCATTTTCTGGGGGATAGCAATCTCATTATTAATAGCTCACATCAGCAGATGTGGGAAGAATACTTGATGGTGGGACTGGGGAAGAGAGCAGGTTGAAGAGTCTCCATCCAACCCTTATTCTCTGTGACATGTACTGAGATAGTCTCAGAGCACCACACAGTATCAGAACTTAGTTTCCAGAAAACACCTGGAACAGACCTATTTCAGTTCTAAGTCCTTCCCTGACACTCAGCACTTCCAAGGCAGCTCTCTGGCTCCAGCTCCCCAATCAGAAAGGTTTCTAAAGACCTGACAATGTGCACCTCTAGAAGATATGACCATTCGAGAGCCAGCCTCACCTCCTCCCACTGCCTGTCCCAATTCAGTCTCTGCCCCAGACCACCATGAGGAAGCCAAGGTTCCTCCTCATTTTTCCTGAATGTGTTCATATGGGACAGAGAGGCCTGGGCTTTCTTCCTCTGCCTTTTCAACAAAACTCACTGTCCTGAGAAGAATGGTAGATGCAATAGAAATATAATAAGCACTGGAGATGGTTGCAAAACAATGGGAATGTATTTACTAATGCCACTCAACTGTCACCAAGAAAACTTACATATTTATATTAATAGGTAAATTTTATATTATGTATATCTTACCCCATTTAAGAAGTAATTTTTTAAACACATCATAACACAAAAGGAACAAATCTCTAATGATAGTACATTGTATCTGAACAAGTGGACGGCAACCTCCTCTGCTCTTGTCCGGCACTGTTGAAGCTACCTTTCCCTTCTAAGCACTCAGGTTTCTGCATCAAGGAAAAAAGGCACCACATCTGGCTAATGGCACAGGACCCAGAAGTGGATCCATCCAAGCATCTCCCCCCTGTGAAAATGGCACTAAAAGCAATAAAACATTATAAATTAATTAATAATAACCTCACAAGAACAGCCAGGCTTCTCTATAACACAATGTCTAAGCTGAGGCACAAATGCCTTCTGGCCTCAGTCAGAGAAGCAGAGCCGTCTTCAGCCACGTTTGGGGTCAGGTGAGATGGGGCAACAGGGGAAGGAGAGCAAAGAGAAGCAACTGCCTGCCAACATTATCTAGATTAGTGGGAACTCTGGGAGAATGGGGTCCTGATCCATGTGGGGATGGAAGTGGGCCAAAGAAGCATCCAAATGGCTCTGAGAAAATGATCTATCAGAAAAATGTGACAACACAGCAAAGCGTACAACAAATTAGCTCTGGAAATTGTGAGACCTCTCGAGGTTCTATGTGACAATCCTGTCACTCAAATAAACACTTGTTTTGGGCCAAAGTTATATTCCCTCATCTTTGGTTATCTATGTTTCCATAACTCCTCAAATATTATTTAATAAGTACCTAATAACCCAATGTGTTAACACACATTTATTTATTAAATCACTACAACATTGCAGAACACACTTGTGGTTTCCAAACTGAAGGTGGAGAGGGATTGTTAATCATCAAAGGTAAGCGGGCAACGCCAGCCCCAGTCAGGAACTGTCACACCTGGGGTAAAGAATGAAAATGAGGCCACACTTGACCTGCTCCACCTTCTGGGAAAGGACTGCCCAACAGGTGGAGAAGCAGAAAGAGCATTACGTCCTGCAGAAAATACAATTCCAGAAGTCTTCTTGCATCCATGTTAAATCATAAAAGAACAGAGAGAAGTCCTCTACACTCTCAGGCTGATGACTTGTATTCTAACTAGAATCAGGCTTTGAAACTTTGCCCTCCAAAAGTTGACAGCCATCAAGAACTTATGTAGCAACTATACTCAGTACCTCACGAGGCACAGGGTGCCTTACAGGGTAGAACCTTTGCCCACATTACAGTCTTCACCAGGCACCAGATTACCTGGGCCAGGGGACAGGAGTGACCTGGGAAACTCAAACTGAGTGGAAAAGCTTTGTTTTTCCTCTTTCATTCTTCACCTGTGTGACCCCCCCCGCAACTACTTTATTATTGGGGTCTTTTAACTTTTGAAGTGTCAACAATTTGAGAAAAACACTGGCTTTGCTAGGATGACCAGGGACCACACAGCAAAATCAAGTACATTGGCCTGTGAAACTCCTCCTCTCAGAATCTTCTTCTGTCACTTCCCTACTTTTCTACTACTCTCATCAATACCCAACCTCCACTTCATCCCCAATCTCTGATCCTCACCTCCACCTCCAACACTTTGCAGTTGCTGGAAACCACCAAGAAGTTGATGGACAACTGAGTTCTTGACTAATGTGTTTTAGGAGAGACCAGTGCTTGCACATTTGCATTTATAACAAAAATAAAATGGGGGCTATCAAAAAATAGAGGTCTACATAAAGTAGGATTGGCACAGGACCCAGAAGTGGATCCATCCAAGCCACTCTTTTAGGAACTAAATACTTACCTCATCACAAATGCAAGCCATGGTGAGCTGATCCCTGCTCTCAGAAAATCCGTTAGGGGAAGAGGATATGTTTTCTGGCTACTGCTAACTCCCACCCCACAAAGCCACTTCTCCGTGCAGAGAGCCCAGGCTTTTCTCTGGGTTAACTTGTCATGCTGACTATCAACGGCATCATGATGTGGTTCTTGCAACACCCTCACCACACAGACATTTCTGTGAGGGGAAGAGGGGTCTGGTGAAAGCTCACATCCTGAGAATCAATAGACCCAGGAGGAAATTGGTGGTCACTGTGCCTGCTCCCCTTTCTTCACCTCTAGGATTGAAAAGCCTGGAAAAAAAAACACACACCTCTCCAAACCTGAGCAGTTTTTCAGAGAAGATGCTGCTTCTCTTATTCTCATTGGCCAGCTCCTCCCCTCCATGGATGAAAGAGGTCAATAACTGGCTTATTCCTTTAGTGACACTTCCACAGGGTCCCAGTGACAGATAACTATGATCCTTTCTTGCCTCTGTCTATTCCCAGAAATTTGCTGACCTTCAGATTTGTCACTGGATATGTACAGATTGAGATAAAAGTAGATAATACTTGGGAGTACATGAAACACAGAGTTTATTCTCATATTAGCACTTATTAATTATTGTCTTATTTTCCATTTGAACAACTGAAAACCTCTGTTTGCCCCACCTGGTAGTGCACAGAAATCACAGGAAAGAACACTACTCCCTGAGAGAACTGAGGGCCCTCTCCTTTTTATAGCTCACCCCCCTGTCACCTGGAATGTATCACATCCTTTAGGATGGCCCATGATCTGGGTGAAGAAAAAAATCTGAAAATGAGAGATATTACTCCCAACTTCAACCCATGGGTGGTTATCCATCCCAGCTGCTGTCATCTGAACTAAGAATGAAAGAGCTAGTTTCCCAGATATCATCTTCTCCCTGTCCTCACAGCCTGTCAGCTCTACCAGGGCAGGTACCCAGAACTAACCAAGCCATTACAGTGGTGTCTTCTCATTGCTCCCAAGGCCCTGCTGGAGACTGGCCCCCTCACACCCAGGTCTCTTCTGGTCCATTTGCCCCATCTCATTCTGATTTCTAGTCCTTTCTACTCTTCCATCTTTCTCCTGAGGGTCATGCCACAGGATGATAAATCTAGCTGGGGTTCAGATTACATTAGGCCTGCTTGTCCCCAACTGCTAGCCAAAGAAAATTGAGACTTTTCATTCAGGTGTTAAATAAGCATTTGTGTGTGATTACTACATGCCTGACTCAGCATGCAGGAGCAAAAAGCTAGAGTGTTCTACTCCACGAGCTCAAATCTTTCAGCTCTTAGGTCACATTGATCCTGGAAGTAGGCAGGACACAGGAGGTCTGACAAGCTTGGGAACAAAGAAGCCAC